CCAAATTCCAAAAGATTGGTGAGACCTGCTTCCAATATAAGTGTATTCCCTTTGCCCCTTCCCAGACTTAAGAATTTGGAAATTCATCATTTAGATCACGTATGGGGAATTTTTTGACCCTCCAAATGTTGCTGAACTATAATTTCCATTGGCCAGGAATGGTGGAAGTTGTAGTTCAGCAATATCTGGAGGGCCAAAAATTTCCCCTACCTGATTTAGCAAGTGAGCCAAACCCAGAAATTAGTGTGGAAAACAAAATATCCAAGGCTCACTGGCCAACCAGAGTTGGAGAAAAGCCTGCTTACAGACCCAAATATGAAAAATGGGATATCTGCCTTTCCCTTTTATACTTACTATAATAATAATCTGCAGCAGCAGCAGTTACTGGAGTATGTGAGCCCAGCCAGCGCTCCTCTGATCAGTTCAGCCAGTGTTAAAGTTAATGAAAGCCAATTAGTATGTGAAAGCTCTATCAAACATTTCAGAGCATTTTATTAGTACTATTAGTCAGAGGCTTTCTGTGTCAGGGGATTTGGCTTTTTTTCTTAATTAAACCTTTATGAGAGAATATCAAATTTGATGATCCATGTGGTAATTTATTATAAAATAAAGAGACTGCGGTCCGAGCTGAGCTCTAGGTGCCTAAGTGAGTCCTATGACACAGGGGCCGCAGCCTCTTACACCAAGCCTGAATTTAGCCCCACAGGTTGGCAATGGTTTTAATTTATTCATTAATCTGGGGAAAGCCTGCATGTTTTTTCTGTGGCGTACAAGTACAGCTCTTGTGCTGTCTAAAAAGCAAAGAAATGCTGAAACAGGGCAACAATACCCTTACTTCAATAATTTTACGATGTGGTTTCTGCTGGGTATTTGTTTCTGTTTATTAAAAAGAGGACAAGATGGAGAAGAGTGAGAGCCTCCTCTCAGGAAGCAGCAGGAACCCAGCACCTCTGGAAGGTGGGAGCCCCACCTGTTCAGCCTCACTGGTTGCTCCTGCCAATGGACCATCTAGTCCTGCATCCTTGTTCTCACAGTGACCAACCAGATGCTGAAGACTGACCCTCTGTAAGGGGTTAACAAGGAGGGTGCAAATAGGCGTCATAAATCCTTGGGCAATGTGCAGTACATGTGTCCTAACCCTAATTCAGCCACCCAAACTTGGTCTGAATCTGTCAACCAACTGCGCTCTCCTTAAATGCCTGTCCGTTGAAACCGATGGGAGCGACAGTAAAAGTTATTTGATATTTAGAAGCTGCTAAACTCAAAAATTATTCAGCTCCCAGAAATCCTGGCTTGAAATCCAGAGTGAGATTTATAACAGAGCATGCTCTTGTGTGTCCCTGCCCATGTACTTTTATTAAAAGATTTGTTATTTTATATATAAAGTATATAAAACAAGACAATTATATAATATAACAGATTAAAATTAAAAGATGAAAAAATATTCCTGCAATTGCAGTTGTGTGGATGACCTTCAGAGTCCCTTCCATCTCTTCAGTTCTATGATTCTATGAAAACCATAACATGGGCAAATAGAGAATCAGCACAGTTACATATAGGCTAAGTAACAAACTCCAAGTCATGAAAGACAAAAGCTAGAATAAAAGTTGTCTATTCCCCAAAGACCAGAAGCCTTTCTTATAGGTATACTAGGGACAGGTGCGCCAAAGAAGATGCCCAAACTATTTATGTATGTGACAACAGCATCTAGAATAGTACATGCACAGAAATGGAAAGAAGAGAAGGTTCCAACGAAGGAGAATGAGTGGCTTTTGAAAGTCATGGACTATGGCAGAAATGGCAAAGCTGACAGTGAAATTAAGAGATCAAAATGACAAACTTTTAATAGAAGAATGGAGGCCTTTCGTGCTCCAGAATGGAGGCATTTGATTACAGTCAAATGAAATTGTGGGCAGGATTCGAGATAAAAGCCGCAGACGAAAAATGACAAAGTAATTGTAATAGAGAAACTTTTTTTAACGGATAAAAATATAACGCAGTAGAAAATGTTTGAGTAAAAACACTGTAGAAATGAGGTTGGGAAGTCAACTTACGAACCAATGTATTTGATTTGAAGGTTATTGTGAAAATGAAAAAAATTAATATTTTTAAATCTACCTACCTACCTATGAAGGGAAAGGGCTCGTTGCTTTAGCACTGAATGCCTGTTTTGCCTGTGGAAGGTGACAGATACAACCCCAGATTCTCTAGTTAGAACAATCTCTGGAAAGAGCTTTTGTTTGAGATGCTGGTGAGATGCAACCCATCAGGAAAGGCTACACTGGGAACACAAACCAATGCTTTGACTCAGCATAAAGTGGCTCTATGGTGGCTCAGAAGGTGTGTTTTGTAAGCTTTGGCTGGCCATGGCTTCCCAGGACATGTGTATGCCCACAGGAACATGAACACATGCGTGTTCCATGCTGCTTCCAACATGGAAGTCTCTTTTGGGGCAAGAAATCCATGACTTGAGCTCTTGTCACTGCACAGGTAGGTGCTTCTCATAACCCCCATCCAATTTGCTGAAAATACCTGGCTGTGGTGGACCTCTTGAAGGATACGAGGTTTTCACATTGTCTGGCAATGAATAATACATTGGGAAGCAAAGGCAGCCATTAGCTCTCTTCTAATCAGTATCATGTAGCATTTTACCAATTAACCACTTCTATCAGACACTTACCATATGAAGTGGCTCTGGGCAGAACTCCCACCAGGATGGACTGGGCCATCTGCATTTAGAAAATTGCCCATACATTTATTAAAGTGAAATTCACCCACTAATTAGTCCTGTCAGTCTTTCCTCCAAGGGTCCTCATTAGCACATTGAGCTAATTACTGCCACCAGAGGCATAAGCGTGTGGAATTGGAAAAGTGTGTGTATTGGGGGGGACGGGACTTTCAGAAAGCTGAACTCAATATAAATGTTACAATTTCTTTCCTATCAATTGTAACCCAACAAACGGAGAAAACCCAAAATCCAATGGTGAAACTGAGTCAAGCGCTACCCTCCCACATTGCCGAAGTTAGAAAAAGAATAAAACTTCAGCAGTGTGGGAGGGCAGAACTTGACTTTGTCACTTGAAGCAATTAAGTCTACATGATTGTTATAACTGATATTTCTTTCTCCTTTTTTAATAGAAAAAGAATAAAATATCAGTTACAGCCATCATGTAGACTTAATTGCTTCAAGTGACAAAAAGCTGGAGAGCAGTGTGCTGCTTGAATAACATGAAAAGTTCAAAAATCTGATTGGGTGTGCTCCCGAGCCCTCGGGTAAGTCTAAAGTAGACCTTTGGGGCCAGCTATTATGTATGCCTTTATTTTATTTTATTTTATTTTAATTTTTTTATTTTTACTAGAGGCTGCTTTCATATAAATATGATCAAGGCAGTTCACAGTTTAAAATAATGGCTTACAGTTTAATAGATAAGGAATAAAAGGAAGAGGGGAAAATAAACATATTGAGAAACCAACTCAAGATTGTCTCACCCCGTATATAAACAATGGATCACTGAGCTCGGCTGGGGGTGGGGTCCCCTAAGATAGGATCTCATCAGGAAGTCTGTTCCATACATGTAGGAATAGGGCTTTTAGTGTGGCAGAACCTGCCCCTTGGACTGCCTCCCATTACAAATCAGACAGGCATGGTTTCTATTATCTTTTCAGCACCTGTTGAAGGCCTTTCTTTCCCAACAAGCCTTTTAAGTGGAGGTTTTTATCCCAGTCAGCAGCTGTCTCAGACTTTTATGTATGAAATTGTTTTTTAAAACTTTTTTATATATTTTATTGAATTTTTTTCAAATATAAAGAAGTAAAATGATACAAAAAAGGGGAGGAAGAGAACAAAACACACAACTGTGTAAAGGGGGGGGACGTTATATGAACATATACAAAAAAAACAACAACCCCTAACCCATACATTCTTTAATTGCTTTTATATATGAAATTGTTTAATATACGTTTCCAGTGTTGATCGTGTATTTTGTTGTTGTTTGTCACTTCAAGATGCCTCATAGGAAGTGATTCATGAATGGAATGGAGCAATAAACATATAAATAAAACACTTTCAGACTGTCAGGCCCAACATCAGCACATGCCATCCATCATAGTGGTTGAGTCACAGAACCACCATTTTAATACGCCCCCCCCCTAAAATGTAGTCACATTCTTTGGGGCACTGTGGGAAATAAAGAAGGCCGCGCTCAGTAGGAGACTAGGTAAACCTACAAGTTAGCAGAGGAGCTCTCCAGAGGCTACTGTTGGTTTTTCAAACCTACAGCCTGTTTGGAGTACCATACTGTTTAATGATAAAGTTACAGAATATCCCTGTAGAATAGCCACCATGAGAAATGGTTGCAGAGGGGGGGGGGGGCAAATGGAAGTTAGTCCTCACCAGGTCCACTGACAGAACCTGACTTTCCTACCTTTCCTTCAGGTAAAGGTAAAGGTACCCCTGCCCGTACGGGCCAGTCTTGACAGACTCTAGGGTTGTGCACCCATCTCACTCAAGAGGCCGGGGGCCAGCGCTGTCCGGAGACACTTCCGGGTCACGTGGCCAGCGTGACATCTGGCGAGCCAGAGCTGCACACGGAAACGCCGTTTACCTTCCCGCTAGTAAGCGGTCCCTATTTATCTACTTGCACCCAGGAGTGCTTTCGAACTGCTAGGTTGGCAGGCGCTGGGACCGAACAACGGGAGCGCACCCTGCCACGGGGATTCGAACCACCGACCTTTCGATCGGCAAGCCCTAGGCGCTGAGGCTTTTACCCACAGCGCCACCCGCGTCCCTTCAGGTACAACCCCATAAAAACCAGGGCCTTTTCCAGCTGGAACTCAAGTTCCAGCCCCTCTCAGGTGGGCGCCATTGCCATTCTTAAGAGAACAAGGGAGGCAGTCATGGTGAATTATTTTCCTAGAAAAACAGCACTGCGTAAAACTGTATGTGCTTCTCTCTTCTAAGTGCCAACTCTGCAGCAGAACCACAGTGCCCAAGCTCATACCTTTCAAAAGTTTTCAGCACACCAGTACAGGCTGTGGTTGTGTCAGTCCCTGCCTTTATCCTCCCAAAATTTCCTGTCCATTTTCATGACTCCACCTATTCTCCTTGGCTGCCCTTTATGCTTGGATTCCCTGTTGGCTGCTACTGCTCTGCCTTCTTTCAAATCTCACCTCAGAGCAAGCAATAAGGCAGCAGGCAAACTAACAACACTTCATATTTCTTGGGACTTGTTTTTATCCCAGGCTTTTAAATCTGAATCTCTCAATCAGTTTAGCTGGAAACCGTTTTTACCTCAGCATGTTACATTGGCTAGGGTGAAAAATGCCCCATGTACAGAGATTCTGTTGGAAATTTGGGGAATATTTTGGGCGCTTTTTGTGTAGTGGGGGACCTCTAGATCAGTGTTGGGTCTCCAGCTGTTTTCAGACTACAATTACCATCATCCCTGACTGCTGGTCTTGCTAGTTGTAGTCCAAAAAACAGCTGGAGAACCGCGTTTCAGAAACCCTGCTCTAGATTGTAGGTGCCTGAAATTTGGGGACACTGTTTACTACCATGCCAGTGAAAATATCCTTGAAAGACTATGTTCTGGGTTGGAATGGGGGGCAAGGGCCACATTGCCTTCTGGGCCACCTTCAGGGAGCTGCCAACCAGCAGAAGGTGGGGCCAGGAGCAAAAGTAGGTGGTCAAATGTTTACTTTTGTACATGTTTACTTCTCGATTCTCCAAGGGCCCATTCCAGCCAGGAAAAAGCACTACAGGGGGGCTGCAAAGCTGGGCTTGTAAGAGGTACAGCCTGGGCAGAGGGTGGGGAAGGGGTGGGACATGGAGGAGTCCCAAGTGTCAGGTAGAAAGGCTCAGAGGGCTGCATTTGGTTCTCTATGGGAGAATATTTATGGGACTGCCTCTCCTGGTATGCCCCGCAGAGGACCTTAAGGTCCATGCATAACCATAGTTTAGAGGTCCTGGGCCCTAAAGAAGTTAGACTATCCTCCACCAGGGCCAGGGCCTTTTCAGTGATGGCTCCGACCTGGTGGAATACCCTGTCCCATGAGACTAGGGCCCTTCAGGATTTAACCTCCGTCCGTCAGGCCTGTAAGACAGAGCTATTCCACCTGGCCTTTAATTTGAATTCAGCCTGATCTTTTATTTCCCTTCTCTTCCCTCCCCCTCCCCCACCCGCTCTGAGACCCCACAGCTAATTCTCCCCTGGCCTCCTCGCTGGCCCAAGTAGGACCAATTCAGCCAGCTAGCCCTGGGGATTATCTGATTGATTTTTGATTCTTGAATTTTATTGTTATTCGTGTTTTTATACCGTATTTTATGCTGCTTTTATAATTGTTCTAAAGTGTTTTAAATTTGTTGTTAGCTGCCCTGAGCCCAGTTTTTGAACCAGGAAGGGCAGGGTATAAATAAATTATTATTATTATTATTATTATTATTATTATTATTATTATTATTATCATCATCATCATCATCATCATCATCATTATTACCACTGTTCTCAATTTGCTCCTCATGTGTTAGTTCTACAATGAAAAGTGCAATTTGGATGGGTTTTAATCCCACTGGCTGGGATTAAAGTTTCTTGCGTCACTGACCAAGCCTCAGGTCTGCGTCATGTGCACAGCTTTCAGAGTAACATGTTTAAAGGAAGGGGGCATAAAGACGAGCGTCCCATGTGAGATGCCCCAACACCTAGGCCCAATTCTGTGTGTTCCCCGCTTTCTTTCTTCTGTGACAGCTTGATTATAACTGGGCATGCTCGTTGCGAGCCGAATACCCGTTTCTGACACAGCCACATTATACCGCATATTTCATTTGTGTAACCACTCTCATGCTCGTAATTACTTGATGCCTTCGGAGCCGCAACAGTAGCACCGTTAAATGTAGGACAGAAATTAGAAAATGCCGTTCTGTCTCTCTAACAGACTCTTCCCCGAGTTTTATGGCTGGTACGGAAAAGGTCTGTTGTTTGGGGGCAGCCACACTGGGATATGCACTTCAGGAAAGGCTATGGCCGTGATCATTATATGCAAATTTGCCACAGCATTTATCCCACTCTTCATTAACATAATATCATCTGGTACCTAAGGCAGCTATTACCTGATCCTGGACATTTCTCATAATAGATGTGTGAGAGCAAGGAGGGAGGGGGCGAGAGGAGTTTGTTAGAAAATGTAACAGGCATTCCCCCTTCCCCTTTCTAAATAAATGAGCCAAATACACCCGGGTGTATCCTGATCCAATGTGATAAGAGTGTTGGATGGACTAGGGAGACCTGGGCTTGAATCACCAGCAAGCCATGAAGCTCACTGGATGACTCTGGGCCAGTTAACTCTCTCGCAGCCTAGCCTACCTCATAGGGGTGTTGTGAAGATAAAATGGAATTGTTGTTGTTTAGTCATGTCCGACTCTTCGTGACCCCATGGAGCAGAGCACGCCAGGCACTCCTGTCTTCCACTGCCTCCCAGAGTTTGGTCAAACTCATGTTCGTAGCTTCGAGAACACTGTCCAACCATCTCGTCCTCTGTCGTCCCCCTCCCCTTGGGCCCTCAATATTTCCCAACATCAGGGTCTTTTCCAGGGAGTCTTCTCTTCTCATGAGGTGCCTCAGCTTCACGATCTGTCCTTCCAGTGAGCACTCAGGGCTGATTTCCTTAAGAATGGAGAGGTTTGATCTCTTTGCAGTCCATGGGACTCTCAAGAGTCTCCTCCAGCACCATAATTCAAAAGCATCAATTCTTCGGCGATCAGCCTTCTTTGGTCCCTCTCACTTCCATACATCACTACCTCCCTCTTATACATCACCTCGAACCCTTGGAGGGCATGTGAGACACAAACCCATGTAATTTGTAGTCAACAGGTTTACACCAGGGAGTAAGATCATGTTGATATGTACAGAGGCAGAATTAGCTCCAGGTGGGTCTCAGGAAAGGTACCTTACTGTAAGTGCATCGGTTCTCTTTGCCTGGAGGAGGAGACCACATTCCCCAGCACCAACTTTGACCCTGTTGGATGCCCCATGCAGTGTGAAAATGGCTGAGCTGTTAGGCTTTCACCAGTTAGGACATGCCTTACAGATGTCCTGCAAGAGTAAGTCTTCTCTCCCTAACCGGTCAGAGTTCTTTCAGAGTGTCAACAAACATGTAGATAGAAGTGATTTGCCTATAGAGTGTATACTTGCTGTCAAAAGGCTTTTGACAAAATACCTCACTAAAGGCTCCTGAGTAAGCTTCTCAGTCATGGAATAAGATGAGAGGTCCCCTTATGGATCAGTAACTCGTGGGAATAAATGGAAAGTTCTCCTAATGCAGGGGTGTCGAAAGTAGCTCCAAGGATCTGCTCTAACTGATCCTACAAGGTTCAGTACTGGAACATGCACTTTTAAAATTGTTCCTAAATGGTTTAGAGTGAGCAGTAATGTAGTCAAGTTTGATGATACCATACTTAATTTCACATATGCGCTTATGGGGTCTGAACTGGCAGTGACAGACAAAACCTTAGAGTAGATGACGACCCAGAGTGATGTGAAAAAGGCAAATTTCATGCTAGGCATCATGAGGAAAGGGGTTGAAAACAAATCTGTCAATATCAGAATGCTATTATACACACCTATGGGGCAGCCACACCTGGAATACTTGGTTTGGTTATGGTCACCTCGTCTCAAAAAGGTTATTGTGGGGTTGGAAAAGGTTCCGAAAGTGGATACCAAAATGATGAATGGGATGGAGCAACTTCCCCATGAGGAAAAGTTGCAGCATTTGGGACTTTTCAGTTCAGCGAAAGGGTGAGCAAGAGGAGACTTTGTAGAAGTGTATAAAATTATGTAATACGTGGAGAAAGTGGACACAGATATTTTTTCCCTCCCTCTCTCATAAACCCTAACACTTGTGGACATCCAGTGAAGCTCAATATTGTGAGTTTTAAACGAATAATGATAACAGTTTATTATTTATACCTCACCCATCTGGCTGGGTTTCCCCAGCCGCCCTGGGCGGCTCCCAACAGAATATTAAAAACACGATAAAACATCAAACGCTAAAAACTTCCCTACACAGGACTGCCTTCAAAGTTCAAAAATTGAACTTTTCAACACAGTGTATAATTCAACTATGGAACTGACTGAGGAAACCATGGAAGTAGTGATGGCAACCAACTTGGATGACCTTAAAAGAGGATGAGACAAATTTATAGAGGATAATGCTATCCATGGCGACTAGTCACGATGGCTATTTTCTTCATCCATTGTCGGAGGCAGTGTGTCTCTGAAGGCCAGTTGGAAGGAGCCACAGATAAGGAGAGGGCTGCTGCAGCACTCAGGTCCTGCTTGCAGATTTGGATGCTGGACTAGATGGGTCACTGGCTTGAGCTAGCAGGCTCTTATTCGGTCCTAATTCCCCACTGGTTCCTGTTCTTAGGCAAACATCAGCAGGGGGAGGATGCTTTTAATTGGGATCAAGCTAGGGAAGGAAGGGTTAAACCTCATGGTGCACTGCGGCCTCCATGGCACGCTCCCTAATTACGCATCTCGGGTTGTCTGAGGTGGAGGGTGCTGTTGTTAAAGTGGCAAGAGAAAGGCATTCTAGGCATGGCTTTCATTAAATAATATTTCTTCATATAAAGATGGGGAGTGGGGTGGTGGTAAAATGGGATGCCCAATGCAGGAGGAGTGGGGTGGTACGTCAGCACCAAGAATTGTTACTCTAACCTGCAAAAGGTTTTTCTTATGTTTTATTTTAGGTATTTACTATTACATTTATATCTCACCGTTCCTCCAAGGAGCTCCAGGGTTTCCTCCTCCTCCTTTTGTCCTCATGAAAACCATGCTATAATCAGAGCGTGTGTGAGAGGCCCAAAATCACCTGGTGAGCTTCATGGCTGGGTAGGGACCCGAACCCTTGTTTCCCGGGTCCTAGTCCAGCCCTCTAACCACTATACAACACTGGCTCTAATGCAACTAAATCAAAGGATTTTACTTTAATAACTCCTTTTAAAACAATGTGCTAAACTGTACTTTCTAGAACAGCCTACCCAGAATTTTTACATTTTGGAAAGACAAAAAGGAGCCAGTCGAGGAATATTCGGGTGGCACGTTTTGTAGCACCACAACCTCTCAGCTACATTGTGCTTTGTTTCTATGCTAAGTAGCTCTGCACAAAATAAACCACCATATAGATTAGGGTTACCAGATGTCCCCGGTTTCCGGGGACAGTCCCCGGATTTGCAAATCTGCCCCCGGACAAATTCCGTCCCCAGATTTGCAAATCTGTCCCTGGGAAACGTGGCAGCGGCAGCCTCAGCAACCTGGAGCCAGCCTGGTAGCGCAGTTGGCTCTGGCTGGTTTCAGGAGCTGCTCACTGCCGCCGCCACTGCCAAAGGGGAACCGGGGACATCTGGCGGTACAGATCTCCTGCCCCCTTCCCCCTTTGTTCTGACAGATCGGGGGAGGCTCAGGAGTCTCGGCTGGGCAGGTGTTGCCCAGTTTTTTTAAAAACAAAAACTCTGCACATTTATGTTTCACAGGGTGCGAAAGAAGGGCTTTGCACCTTGCCTGGCAGAGAAGCCATGCTCCTTGCACCCCCTCCTGGGCAACGGCCACCCGCCTGTGACTCCAGAGCCTCCCCCAATCTGTCAAAACAAAGGGGGAAGGGGGCAGGAGATCGGGGAAGGCTCGGGAGTCACGGACAGGCGGCGCGCCTTTGCCC